TTATTGGACACAGTTTATTCAAATTAGAGATCCATCCATTGGTATATATGATTTTACTAAAATTTGAACAAATGGTTGAAGTAACTCATAAGTCTCTAGGGATGTCGAAAAGAGGTTTGAGGAAAATTTTAAACATCGGAAGCATTAGATTATGGATAAGAGAGCTATTATTGCCAGTGAAAAGTTGGATTTTACTGTTCAACAAGGAATATAAGGACAATATTATAGAGTTTGATGGCATTAAAGCAGGGAGAAAGAAACTTTCTTAGGATTAATGAATGAGATGAGTCCACAACTTTATTTCTAAAGAGTTGTTATTTTGAGAAGAGGATAAAGAATTTTTGTTATTTGGACTAGACATAATGATTGAGATGCCAAGTATTAATGTTTATTTTGGGGCTAGTGAGGAGAAAAGATTGCAAGTACGGACAAAGTGGATGAAGTATTAAGATGATTGGATAAAGATAGTTTTTTCGTTTTGAATTGAAGAATGAAATGAGAAGATAACATATGTGATTATGTGTCTAAAAAGGAAAAAGGTAAATGAATATGGTGGAAGGACCAAATTTATAAATCAAAACGGAAGAATGAAGATTTTTGTAGAAGTTGATTTTTAAATAAGATGGCATAAGGCCGTAGGAAGCTTGGAAATGTTTTAGATTTGTGGGGAAGGTTGAGACAATTGTAAATCACGTCCATTTGATTGTTGTAGTTGAAGATTTTCCTTGGGCACAAAATTTCTTCAACCTTCAAATTGGAGATCCACCAGTATATGACTTTTAGTTTTACAAAATTTTGGATAAGTGATGGAGAAGCTCATGTCTAAAAGGAACAATTAGAGGCTATTGTTGGTTGAGAATAGTGGGGCTATTGATGGATAAAGGATAATATCTTGGATTTATAATGATTTTTTTTTTGTTTTGCATTTAAGGAGGAGAAATATACTTTACTGAGATAAAATAATTCTGGATTATCGAATAAGGTGAAACCCACAAATTTCTGTGAAGAGTTATTGGTTTGAGAAGATGATAGGAATTTTTCTTTAATTGGATTGGAAAAAATGATAGCTTTGTTTCGAGTGTAGAGAAGAAAATGGTTGTAAAGATTGGCGTGGTGGGGTTGTAGGATGATTGGACAAAGATACTGTCTTAGAATCATTGACATTTTTCATTGAAGAGTGAAATGGAAAGACAATATTAAAGATTATTTGCTTAAAGTTAAAAAAGCTACATGTATTGTGGCTGAAGGACTATATATTGGAATAGATTAATTTAAATTGAAGGATGAAATATGCAATTAAATGCTTGATGATGTTCTAGATTTGTTGAAAAAGTTGAGACAATTGTGAATCACTACTAATTTGGTCATCATAGTTGAGGATTTTTCTAGGACACAAAGTTTATTCAAAGTTAAGATTCTCATTGGTAAATGATTTTTAGTTTTACAAAATTATGCACTAGTCGTGGAGAAATTCTTAATTCTAAAGGACAACTGAAGGATGAGGAAGAAGAAGAGGATATCTTTAAACAGCTACAGTTGCCAAAGGAAAGCTGGATTGTATTAGTCATTGAGATGAATGAAGACAATATTTTGGATTTGTTGGAGGGAGAAAGATACTTTGCTGAGAAAAAGAATTTAGGATAAGAATCTTCATTATTTGATTGGGAGATAATAATTGAGCTACTAGGTACTAGAGTATGTTTAGGGTGAGTGAGGACACAAGACTGTAAAGATTGGCAAAGTGAATAAACTAGGAGACAAGGCTGCTGTAAAGATTGGCAAAGTGGATAAACTAGGACGCAAGGCCGTAAAGATTGGCAAAGTGGATAACTATTGTGATTTTCAGTTTTAGAAGTTTTTGGAGAAGTGGCTCGAGGGAATTTTAAACAACGCAGCCACAAGAATAAAATATGGAAATTTGAGCTATCGGTAGATAAGAACTTTTGTTCTTTGAGTTTAGGATAATGATTGAGGTAGCATAAAGGTTTTATTTTGGGCTCCTGACAATAAGTTATGTCAAGATTAACAAAGTGAATGAAGTATTAAGATTCATTAGACAAAGATATTCTCTTAGATTGATGATCGTTTGGCTCAGAAGAATTAAATTAGAAGAATACAATGGAGATTACGACTTCTAAAGGAAAATGATAAATGTAGGATGGTGGATGGATGACTATGTATTAAAACACATATTATAATGGAAAAGTGAAGAATTCTTGGGAAAGTTAATTTGGGAATAAGATATTTGGAACGTTTTCTAGATTTCAGTGAAAAGTTAAAGGCATTTGTGTATGACTTCATTTGATCGTCGTAGTTAAGGATTTTTATTGTACACAAGTTTCGATGAAATTGGAGATCGAACTTATATGTGATTTTGAGTTTTACAAGTTTTTCGGTAAGTGGGTGGAGCATAAGTAAAAATGGAATATGTGAGAGAATGATGGAAAGTGGCTTGAGGGAATTTTAAACAATGCGAGGGCTAGAATAAAAGATGGGAATTGGTGCTAGAAGTGGATAAAGTTTTTGTTCTTTGTGTTCAAGATAATGGTTGAGGTAGCATCAACAAGGTTCATTTTGAGCTAGTGACAAAAAGGTCCGGTCAATATTAGCAATGTGGATGAACTATGAAGATAATTGGACAAATATGTGTTCTTGATTGTTGATGGTTTGCTTTGGAAGAATTCATTGAGATGAATGCAATAAAGATATGCACGTTAAAAGGAAAAAGACAAATGTTGTGCAATGGATGGACGATTGTGTATTGGAACACATACTAAAACGGAAAAGTGAAGAATTCGTTGGAAAATTAATTTGGGAATTGGATGGATTTAAAGTTTTGAATATCTTCTAGATTTAAGTGGAAAGTTCTATTTGTTTGGTTGTCGTAGTTAAGTATTTTTGTTGGACAGACGATTTGATGATATTTCAGATCTAATTAGTATGTGATTTTGAGTTTTATAGTTTTTGGACAAGTGGCTTGAAGGAATTTTAAACAACGCTAGCACAGGAATAAAATTTGGAAATTTGAGCTATTAGTAGATAAGAATTTTTGTTCTTTGAGTTCAGGATAATGATTCAGATAGCACCAAGGTTTCATTTTGGGCTAATGGCCATAAATTGTTTCAAGATTAACAAAGTGGATGAACTATTAAAATTCATTAGACAATGATATTCTCTTAGATTGTTGATGGTTTGTCTCATAGGAATTGAATGATAAGAATACATTGGAGATTAAGACTTCTAAAGGAAAAAGATAAAATGTAGGATGGTGGATGGACGACAATGTATTAGAACACATTAAAATGGAAAAGTGAAGCATTCTTGGGAAAGTTAATTTGGGAATAAGATATTTGAAAATATAATCATAGAGTATAATTCATTAAATAAAATATAATCTTCGGTATGGTATAAATTTATTTGATGTAAAAGTCTAAATTATTAGTTAAAATATATATATATATATATAATATGTTATAAAAAAAATAGAAAATATTTTTTAAAAAAAAAACCATGATCTGCCACTCATGAGACTCGGAACATGAACTAGAGGCATGTGCCTGCACCAACCGGGCCAAAAGTCTTTAAATACAAATTTGTTATTTATACTGTTGGTTAGAAATCACATTTGATTCCTATATTCTCATTAAAGTAATGCTTTAATCTTCTTGAACTAATTCTCTAATTTAGAATCGGTTATAATTTAGTTATTGTCGTTAAACATTAAGTTAAATTTAATCGAATTTTAAGAAGGGTGTCAACAATGGGTCGGTTTAAGATCGGGCCGGTCCATCCCCATCCTTTCGACCTCTCTATGTAGAGCGGGCTGTTCTTGTGCGATCTGACCAAGGTGTCGATGTAGGGGAGATGGATCGAAGACATGGTTGCATTTGGGCAACAATTGGAGACTCGTCTTGAAATTAATATGTGGTGGTGAGGACTAGTCCTTCACCACTTTCGGTTAGGCTCGCTGTTTTTTCAAGGAAAGAAGTGTGTTCTTGAAATTTTACAGAGAGACTCAAAGTGTGGAAACAGAAATTTAATTTAATTTTTTTAAATTAAAATTTTAACCAAGAATCAAGAGTCAAGAAATGCAAATGGAAAAAAGAAACTACATTTTGCAGTTTCTAAAATTAGCCACTATTTTGGGTGACCAAAGATGCATTGTTCTCGAAAAATGCAAAAATAGAAACGTTACAAAACGAGTACTTGGATTCTCTTAAAAACTTTACAAAAACTTTACAAAGTGTAGCAAATTTAATGTCTGGTACAAAATTGTTAAAATTTAGACAAAAAATGACGTTATTTGGCTTTTTTTTTTAATTATACATTATAGTTGGTTTTTTTCGCTTAAAAAATTTATTTAAGGGTGCATTTTGTGCATTAGTTATCAAACTTGTGGGGTGTCTTTTTTCTTTCCTCTTTCTAAATTAATGCGTGAATCGGTAGAAATTGAATAGAAACCTAAAAATTATGGCACTTAATTTAAATTCGTTAAAATAAATATTATTTTCAATATAAACAAAATTTAAACTAAAAATTTTATTTAATGGTGCATTTTGTGCATTAGTTATCAAACTTAATTTTTTTATTAAATTAGTAAGATTTTGTGGGGTGTCTTTTTTTTTTCCTCTTTCCAAATTAATGGGTGAATTGATAGAAATTGAATAGAAACCTAAAAATTATGGCACTTAATTTAAATTCATTAAAATAAATATTATTTTTCAATATAAAAAACAAATTTTAAAAACAAATCAAGTCACATATAAGAATCGAACACATGACGTGGTTATGGAAGCGTCATAATGGGGTGGCGAGGCAGCCAACGGACCTCGAGATGGTTTGCACGCAGCATAACAACGAGAAATTATTTAATCTAGATTTTAGGGGCACAGCCTCTTCAGCCAAGTGTGATGGATTTTTCAGAGACGAAAAGAGAGAGAAAATGGGCTCTCCCAAATACATGTAATAAAGCAACAAAGTTTCAATTCCCAAGATTTGCAGACCTGGTTCTCCTTTCTTTTTCTAGCTTTACATTTTATTATTTTCTATTACCATTTTTTTTAGTACAATCCCAGATATGTTTCTGCTCACCAACTCTTTGGGTCCTAGCTGATCTTACAATCAAGTGCAGTTGATATTTGTCTCTATGTCTCTGCAATCAAAAAGTTCTTTTTCACTGGATAAAAATACTTAGAAAGAAAAAGAAAATACCGTCATTGATCTTAAAGGTCACCCAAATAAATTTTAGATTTTTAGATTTAGAATTCTATTACATTGTAAGGTCCCTTTAGCTGGATCTTATTTTTGGACCGGTTGCGATCTTTAATAAACTTCTACGTATAATTCAACCAACAAAAGACTCGATCAAAGCATAAGAATAAGAATGTCCTAATCATACCATGAAAATACTAAAACCTAGCCATAAAGCAATCCAATCTGATGTTTTTTATGTTCTGTGGAAGGGTGTGTACATTTTGTGTTAATTTTTATTTGCATGTTTATTCATGAATTTTTTTTAAGGAATCTGGGAACGTCACAAAGAACATAACCATCTGTCCACGGTTCAGACAAAAACAGATTAAACTAATCTGGCTATAAGAACATATATGCATCAATCTAAAAACAGCAAGTGAAAGAGATCATGTCTGAAGCTTAATGTGTTGGAATTTTCTAGCTAATGGCATGATAAGTGCAATGATTTCCTTATATTAACATAAAAAATGACAAGAATCTAAAAAAACACAAATGGAGATTTTAGTGACTTAAATTATCAGAATTTTTAAAAAGATGTTTATGACTTTGCCTCTTTGAGAGAACATTGTTTATTTCTAATTACAAATTTGTTTATCCAGAACTTTTTCTTGTATATACAACTTATATTCTTGGAGTATGCTATATGTCTTCAACCATACCCTTTATAATCTAATTCCTTTTTAATTGCAAAGAAATCTCTCAAGATTTAAGACCTTAATTATATTAATGAGCAATTAAAGGCGCAAATTTGCTTAAATTCAAACGGATAAAAGGAAAATAGAAGAGAGAGAGAGAGAGAGAGAGAGAGAGAGAGAGCATTAAGCACCAAATGACCCAAAATTGCAAACTTGATATAGCTTTCGTTGCAGTTCAAGTATATCAATTCTCCTTGAAACATCAACCTGAGAAATCAAAACAAAGCAAAACAATAAGAAAATCAACCTCTAAAAATTGGTGAAAAAAAAATAGTTAAAAACCTCTACAAAACGATCAGAATCAAGCCACCTTTGACTGAATGGTGTGAAACATTCTACCATTTACTTTGGTAGAAGCACAACTTTGAACATGAGTACTTTGTTGAAGCAGAACTCTCATCACTCCCGAAAGTTTCAATTTTTCCTCTCTAAAGCAACAGCTTATCACAATCTCCAATCCACCAGAATATGGATTAATCACAACACAACTCGAGGAACTTTCATTATTCTGGTAACCCAAAGAATCCAAATACACCCTCTTTAATGCATCTCTTTTGATATGAAGCTCACTGATTTTCCCTTTTAAGTGTTCAATGTAACGAACAGCCTCGTTAACGAGATCGGCCCTCGAACGCCTACCCTATAATTACATAAATCAGAAAAAGAAACAAAGGGAATTCAAAGTTTAAAAAAATAAAAGAAGGGAAAAAGGATAATGGATTTTTTTTCTTCTTCTGACTTTTATGAATTCAAGAGGAAGCAAAGATCGAAGGTTGGTGAGAAGAGAGGCCATTTGTTTCCTTCTTTCACGTTCGAGATCTCTATGCATAATCTTCCTGTCCTGATCATCAGTCCTCCCCACATTTTCGGAATTTGACACCAAATTTTGGTGGGTTGTAAAATCACAGCTGCTTCCTTCTGGTGCTGAAAATTCATAAAATTGATTGAAAGGAAACATTTGGACGGAGCTGAAATATTGAAATTAGGACAGTAATTAAGTTTGTAAGAGAGGATGGAAATTGGGTCAATTAGGGTTTTGAGTGAAAAACGTGACCTCAAAAGCAACCTTAAAAGCTTCAATTGTTGACAATATAATTGTTCACATATCGGGTGGCCCTCCACCTGCCGCCGTGGTGTCCCAAATTGGTGCCGATTGGACCTTAAGATTATGACAGGAGAAAGAATCCGAATTGATTGTCACATACGCTACTGAATTGAGTGGGACCAATTTTTGTTATTTTTTCAAAAAAAAAAAAACAAAATCTATGTTAACAATTACAGGTGGTGGTGAGGACAAAGTTGTTGGGAGTCAAATATTTTCCTTCCCGTAAAAATGTATTTGTAATGGAATGAGGGTTTCTTTTAAAAATTATTGTAGTTATCAAAATGTAATAACCATTATTCTGGCAAATAATATATGTCAAACTATTTTTAGACTACTGGGGTTGATAAATCTTAAATTTACAATCTTATTATCTAGGATCAACAAGCCTAGATATATTAAAAATATAAATTTGGTTCCTCACTCTCAAACTTGTGACCCAAGTGATTTCTCAAAAAATTATGTGAATTAATGAATGCTTAAAGTAGATTTTTACTTTGTTTTTAAGGTGATATGTGATATGTCCACATTAAATTTAAAACAAAACATAATCTTACTTGCAAAATATCACATATCAAAACTAAACTATATTTGTTTTGAACTAAGGGTGAGCAGTAACAGTACATGTATAAACGTCAAAATTAACCAGTTAAGTTACGGTTAGATTCGCATTTAAATATAAGTGATTCAAATATATTAACTCATACGAGTCACTAATTTGGTACTTTATTTATTCTTTTTTCTTTTTGACTTTTAGTTGTTTGTTTTCCTCTTTCAACTTTATGTAAAAATAAAATTTGATTCTTACCTTCAAGCCAGCGATTGTTTTATTATTATAAGGAGCAGGAATAGGAATAGGATTATTACATGTTCACACGATTAAATAAATTAAACGAGAGCCGCAATATGATCAGTATCAAAACAAATTAAAGATCTCGAAAAGACCAATATATTCATATAATAAATTAATGAAATTTATATAGGTAATAACAAACTCAAAACACTCTGCACTTATAACGAAACTTTCATTTAATTAGTAACGATTCTGATTCTGTTTTTTTTTCCCTTTTCCTTTCAAATTATGCTTACAGAAATTGAAAATCATTTTTAATTTTTATGTTAGTTTTACTTCTTCAAAATGTTTTTTTATATATATATATATATTATTTTAGAAATATACTTGAAATCTTATTTGGATGGTTACAAAGAAATTCAGGTTTGTCAAGATTTTAATTGTGAAGCACAATATTCAAATATCTGTGAGCTTAGATATTATAATTTCAAGCTCCATAAATTAATCTAGGCTTAATAAAACCGTTAAACATGAACTTCAATGGCTGTAGATTCAAATTAATATATATTAATATTAACCCTCTCGAGATAAAATTTTGGGGGAGACAATTGATCATCATAGAAAGATATTCTTTTTTTCAGATGCCCATTTTGTTATTTAGGATTATTCCAGGTTGAAACAAAAAATGGACCTTACAAAAATTTAGAATAAACACTACTCCACGAATATTAATATGGTATCAGAGTTCAACGAGCTCAAATGAGCATCCAATTCAAAAGTGAGATTCGAACAAAAATCATGAGCCAAAATAGTCACGATCTTTCTTGAAATGACATGTCATGGATAAATGTCAGATTCTCGGGGCCAACAACCTGAATTGTTTAGGCATAATATTTCAAATTGTTAATATATATTCAGCGTCAAAAGCTGGAAGTGCCACCAACAGTATCAAAGACCATATCTCCCCAAGATATAGGGTATCCTATTTTCGAAGGCCACTCTTATTTTAGAAAGGAACAATATGATTAAATATGTGTGCCATATATGATTCATTGTTATAATAATCTAGTAATCATCAAAGCCGGATCATTCAAGATTATGTTTTTTTTCTTTGACAAAAATAAAAACGAGACAAAAAATTTGAATATATATATAGTGCTGGCCCTTTTTCGATCTTATCTATTGCCTTGAGCTCTTCGACTCTCTATAGCTCTAGCCGCTTGCTGTAATACTTTACTTTTTCGGATGACTCGCACTCTGAATGGTGCGGTTGAATCAAAGTGGACTTAGCAGTCGGCTTAATATCGTGTGCACGAGTAAAGGTACAAAAATATATGAAATAACATTCATGAAATAGAAAAAAAGCCAAACATCAAACCTAAAAGAAACGAAACCAAACACTTTATATATATATAAACATAACTTTAATGCTTTGGTCAAACTATAAAACATAAAAATTATTCCTTTGTTATAACAGTATCATAGTTATTTACTATATTTATTTTACTTTTTCCTTTTTTTACCATGAATTGAATCCCTCACTAAAAAGAATTATTGAAACGTGATGGCCATAATGAAATATTTGGTAAACTCATGAAGAAGTATACTTGTGATATACTTATACTTTGGCAAGAATATTAAAACAACTATTGGAAAAGCATCAAGTGTATATACTTATCCCCTTGCCTGCCACTAATCCAAGTATTGACATTATTTTATCTTTCTTTCATAAAGTGTTTGCAATTATTGAGGAAAAAAACATTGGACCAACAAACAAACTTGGAATTAGAAGCTTGATTTGGACCACTTCTGTGAACCTGGTCAACTAATTAAAAGGAGCTCACAAGGAAATTGGGCATTTTGCTTCATTGTCAGTGAACAAAACACAATAGAGAATCAGTTGCATAATTAAGGCAAAAGTTGCCCTTTATCTTTAACGTTCATTTGATGCTTTGAACTAATGCAAAGCTTTATTTTTCCATATTTATTTGTGGGTGTATTGTACTCTTGCTGCCCTTGCAAGAATATTTTGTCTTTATATATTAATGGAAAAGGAGATCACATGGTGATTTGCAAAATCTCATCAACTTTCATTAGTACACAATATGAAGCTTACATTGTATTTAACCTAAGTTTTATTTTTAAAAGAAACTATTGTGTATGTCCTTCTAAAAAAATAAATAAATCAAAAAATCAAAAGTAGACATTCAATATCAACTCACGGTACAAAGTATTTCCTATTTCCAATCTATCTGTCAAGACCAAAAGAAAAAAAAAAAGTTGTATGAGAAGGCTTAATATCATGCTTTTAAAAACTTATATATATTTTAATTATACTTCTAAAAAACTATTTTATCTCTTTATAAAATTAACAGTTTTTTGTAAAAAAAAAATTATTTAATTTCAATGAGTCATATATTAATTTAATTTATCTCAATCAATAAATATATATTAAAGAACTCTAATGGAAAATAAGTTAGTGACTTGAAATAGTTGATTCATAGTTTTTGAGTTAGAAATTCAAATTGGTTCTTAACCTTACTACATTAGTACTATAAATCATTCAAAACTCTCAAAAGAAACCAGCAGGAGGTAATTTATGATAGAATAGACCATATATGATATTAATAAAGAGAGAAAACATCAAATTTCCTCAAGTTTTTTTTTAATATATATATATATATATAATGATCAATCACTTTTCCAGTGCTAGGAAAATAATCTACCAAAAGTGATAAAAATAGGTAGGTAATAATAAGTAAACTATTATAAATCTGTACCTGGCTTTTTATATATTTTTATATTTTAAATATCTCTTCACATCAATATATATGATGAACCAATAATTTGCTCCATTCAATAATTATAGGAGATCTACTCTCAAATATTTCAGGACGATCTATTAAACAAAATATATATTATTATCGATTTGTCATATCATATCCCATCAATTTGTATAACTAATTATATAACTTTCAAAAGAGTCGTTGTACAAAAGAACCTTTGAAAATGTCCATTAATCAAAATGAATATTATCGTGAATTTGTCATCAGGCAGTTGAGCATTTGGGGATCTCTTATGGATAATTTCCATTGATTAGATGTCAGCTAATTGGCAGACAACATCATCTTTCACCAGGATTGGATGGTTGGATTGTACATATTCATTCTCAATAATTCTTTTTTTCTTTTTCTATAAGTTAGAATATATTTCCACACAATGGTTGCATCTTTCAATTTTACCAACGTTATATTTGTGAGCAAGAGAAAAATCCGAGAAGAGATATCAAAAGCAAGCTAGAGAACTCCAAATCAAATAAAAAAATCGGCAGTCTATTTTATAGTACTTGGAAGATACCCATTCTTGTATATCTTTTTTACGTTAGTGGATCTTTATGATCGAGATACGTTGTCTGGACTAAGTAACTCTATGATTAGCGCAAAGTTCAAGACCTTATGGATATATTGGGATTGTTTAGGCAAAAGTGTGCTAAAAAGTACATATTTTTTCAATATGGATTTTCTATGAACGTACCTTCACTCTTCTTTCTCCATTGTCAAATAAAGTTTTAGGTTGACGGGTCGGACAAAGGACACCCTTCACATTTTCACGATGGTATCATATTGTCTACTTTGACACAAGTCCTTATAACTTTACTTTTTACTTTCACCCAAAAGACCTTTATGTAAATGGGAGATGTTATTCATCATATATATATATATACCCATGATCTTCTCCTTCCCTACTAATGTCAAAGACTTTATTTTCACTCCCAACAAATGTTGATATTCATTTAACTTCAAGCTAATGAAACACTATACTCCAACTATACAAATACACTCACAAAAATCTAGGTTTGTTTAATTTTCAACAACCTCCATAGCTACAAATGTGATAAATATATGTTCCTTTCAATCCAAAAAAAAAAAAAGGTTTCATACGATTTTATTTCGTAACAGCTTATTTACATCAAAAAGATAATATATAAGAGCTTATAACTTGTTAGTGTGCAGCTAAATTTTATTCCAAAAAGGGAAATAGTGATAGTTTTTCTTCGAACACCATGACCACCATCGTTTGTTGCTGCTGCCGCTGCCACATTGCATCTAACCAAAAACACCTTGATCTCAATTTATTAATCTGAGAGATACTTCTTGCCAATATATTTAAGACTAATAAAATCCATGCATATATGCAGATATTATTATTGATGCTTGACACTGAAATATGTTCATAATTGCACAAACATGTATCAATCTTCCAAGAAGAATTAATGCTAATCATATTCAAGTGCACCCTAGGCTAATTCAGTCGAGTCCAAGCCCCGACACCTATTCCGAACCAAGTAGAAATTACTAAGATTTATATGTATATACATAGTATCTATTTAAACACACTTAAATATCTCTATTCTCGTACATATAACCTAGCTCCATCCCAATTTGCTCGATATAGATACATATCGCATATATATCATCTGATAATTTTCTCCATAATATTGCATTGTTTATTAACACTTATACAATTATATAACTAGTCCATGCTTGTATGTATATCTATGTGTACAAATTATTCTCCATTATTTGGGTTTGATAATAATTCTGATTCTTCTCTTTCCAATCCCGTTTTTTATTTTTCTCAATTTCCACTATTATATACGTGTGCATGAAACCATATTCCTATGCACATGCATGAAACTAGCTATATAGTTTTTATGTATACTTATTCTTATGATAGAAAGCCCAAAAGAACCTAAGCGATGTCCAAATATTCCCATCAGCAACATGATCAGTATCAAAAGGCAAAATAACAGCTAGGTTTCAGATAAAAGCCAGATTCTTATATGGTACAAATTAAAGAAAAAGGAAAGAGAACAGTTATATAGTTCAGAGTGAAGCCAGCTGAATCTTATGATACAAAGTATAAACACTGCAGACATAGGTCACATAAAAAAAAAACAGCAAAGTTAATTAAGCACAAAACAAAACTAATTACGGTTAGAAAAATACTTGCCTATGCACTTGTCAACGAGAATTCCTCCGAACTTTCTAATATATCATAGAAATAGACCAATAAAAATGTATCGTATTAGAAAAGTCGACAGTAGTTCCTACCGACCGGTGTGTATGCAAATATTGTTCTTAACATTGTTGATCTATCACTGGTCTCAGCAGTGGCACTGCTTCTGTAAGCTTTTTCTCAAGCTGAGGGAGATCGAGGGAAGTCAAATCACGGACCTGTTCGTTGAAATAATTAAAGCCAAATCCATGAGCACAAGAATTTAGTTAATTTCCTCAGTGGGTGGATTTTGGCAATTATAATCTTACCTCCATTTGGACGGTGTGGATTGATTTCTCGTTCACCGAGCTGGAACTGCAACTGATTACGTCCAGCCCTTGTTCAACCACCACTTTCAAGATTCTTGAGAGGGGAAATCCATTGAAACCGCTGGTCGTGATCACGATTTCAAGTCCTCCACCAAAGGAGCTGATCTTAAAGCTGCAAATTGGAGTCTGCCCTCTTGATTTCTCAAATCTGTTCCAATTATTATCATCCAGCTTCTTCAATTCGTCTCTTTTGGCTTCGATCTCTTTGATTTTCTTCTTTTGATGCTTTATATAATTCACCGCCCCATTCATTTGATCCGATATCGCCCGTTTTCCCTGAAATCCTCCCATTTCCATAAAGTCAGTAAATTTCACACCTTGGGGGAGAAAATTAGTAAAGGGAAAGAGAATCCCCTTAACAAGAAAATGAAAAAAAGAAAAAAAAAGGATTGCTTGATTTTGGAACATAATTATTAAACAGATCTAAGTGGGTTAATTCAAAATCATAAGCAAAATACAAAGAAAAAAAGTGAAATCAAATCACCTTGATAAATTCAAGAGGAAGTAGGGTTCTGAGAGACATATAAAGGGAACCCATTTCTTGTCTTCTTTGCCTTTCCCTTTCTCTATGCATGATTTTGGCGTTATGATCTAGATCAGAAACTCCTCCACTTGCATGCAAATTATCCAAATGAGTTGTAAGCTGATGATGCAGCTTCCTCCTCCTACGAATATTGGGCAAGTTGTTGTTGTTGACCCCATAATTATTGTTGTTATTATGTTGTTGATCCTCTGAAACATGGCGCCCAAAAATCAGATCTTCGGGGATTATGTGTTGGTGAGGATTGAACGATATCTGGAAGCACTTCTCTTCGGCTTTCTGTAAAGGGTACATTATATAGAGCTAGAGATTGGGGGCAAAAAAAAAATTTCTTTTAGGATTTTCAACAATTATGTGAGAAGAGAAGAGAAGATGCGTTTGTTAGGGGTTCTTGAATTTGGGTTTGGAGTTGAGAAATGGCAAAGATTCCATAAAAATCCTTCGGAGACAAGATTAGCTGGAGAATGACTCACCGGCCACACATGTACTGTACTGTGTGAATTACAATTCTTTTTTTTTTTTTCTTTTTCTTTTTCTTTTTGTGGCCGCTAATTAAATATGTAACTTAATGTAACTGAGAGAGGATTATATAATTGGAGTTCAAACCGAACAACCAACATTTTTGTCTTCGGTAGACCGCAGCATATGCATTATGCACCTCGGATAGATGATCATGATCATTTGATCGTACGGTTATCTTTGTCCAACCGAACCAAAGAAATAACGGCAAATGAAATCTATCATTTTATTTCTATTGATATATACGTGGCCGTTTGTAATGATTTTATTTATTGTTTCTCGTTTCTAATTTTATTAAGAATCTTAAATATTTTCCAATCAGTTGTGTTCATTGAAACATTCTCATATATGAAAAATTTGAAAACAATCGAAATAAGGTTTTTATTTTTTGTTTCTATTTCCAGTTTGTTACAAAACATTAATATAAATATTGTTGGATCATACTGGAATGTATGGGTATTGTGGCCATCTAATTCTATTTTTCTTTATTAATAATGAGAAAACAGAAACAAGAAACGGAAACGTTACCCTAACATACTCCAAGTGTCAATATCTTAATGATTATTGAATTTGCTTTAATTTGTTTGTATGACAATATAATTTCTCTTATTTTTAGGATATAGGCATAACATTAATACATTTTTTGATGAAGGGTGTGTTGGCAAAAATTTTGAGATCCTCCCGAACTTT